GAAACTCACAAAGTGGACAATTCCTCGTCAATATCCTTTGATGCAAATGCATCGTAACGAGCACCAACGGGCCGTCGAAACTTCCCTGTGACCCCAGCTACTGCGGTAGTGTTTGGTGTGGTCGGGATGAGAGCGGCCCCACCAGACTCAACAACACGATACTCAGCGGCCTCCTGGTAGTCTATTCGCCGCCGCCGCGCTAGTTGGGTGTTATAGAGGGAGTTCACGCCGGCAATGACGCATGCTGGAAAATCACGAGGAAGTGAAGCGATACTGCTCTCACAACATGCAAGCACAAAATAACGTGTCGAATACATGTGTGCTAACCATTAGAAAAATCAAGTAAACGCAAGTGCACAAATCTATACTGCAGGTGGAACAGCTGACAGCACTGCTGCACAAGCCAAGGTGTATCAGAATAGAGAGGGTACCATAGATAAAACTAAGAGTGTGCAGGCCAGAATAAACCAGCTTGCGATCGATGGATGCTTCTAAGCACGCCCACTTTGCGTGAAGGAGCCAAATCCCTATGCGGTTGCCAGTTGAAATAGCCTTTAAATGTGGTGAATGAGTAAAAATTTTAAAAAAAATACGAAAAGCAAAGCACCAACAACGAGGATACTGAATTACAATTGAAGACATGGTAGGATCCTTGTATTTCTTAAAAATTAAACGAGTTTTAGTAAAAAATAGTCCTATTATTGCACTGGCTCAGACGCAATTAAAGAGGGCATAATCCAATTGTGGTGAACTAAACAACACTCCTTGGCCGCGAAATCATCAACACCATGGCAATGAATCTTAATGACTTACCAATGCGAATGTCCTGGAGTAAATGAATAAACGTGCATTTTGTCCCTATTGATTTCAAAGCCTAATCATTAACTGATTGCATCATTTTGACGTCTAGTCAACGCTAGGTCTCTATACAAAGCAATGAAAGGGTCACGAATGTGCAGACTTCGGTGGCCAGGTTGTGAACAATAAGTGTTACCTCTTAAGTGGTCACGTGAATTCCCAAACAGAGCCTGACACAATCAATCAGAGCACCAAGGTAATTTAGGGAGGGGGAGGGGAATTTCACAAACT